CCCCCCATCCCATCGTCATCACCCGATCTTTTTAAAGGAAAAAATGAGTGTTTGTATTCTATTTTAGTAGATTTGTAAAATTTTGCATTTTCTTCTTCAGTTTTTGTTTTTATTAAAATTTAAAATTTATTTGGTAAATTTTTTTTTTTTTTTTATATTTGGGGTGTCAGGAAAGGAATTTTTTTTGTTTTTTTCCCTTATTTCTTTTGGGGGGAAAAATTAAATTTGGGGTAAGATAATTTTGGCTTTCGAGAGTTCTCAGGAAAGGATTAAAAATCGTAAGGCGGGGGGGGGCCTCTTGTATAAGTAAAATTTCTGTAGTTTTTAAAAAAAAATTTAAAAAAAAATGTCAAAAAAAATGCAAGGGCTTTTCTAAAAAGTAGTTTCTGCCAAATTAAAAAATACCCTTTTCACAAAAAGTCTAAATCTTTTTGTTCAATAGCCAAAAAAAAATTTTAAACATAGAAAATTTTTCCAAATTAAAAATAACTTTTATATAAACTACCCTTTAAAAAAAAATCTTGAAAATTATTTTATTTTACCAAAGGATTGGGGTAGAGCGTAATCCAGGGCGGTTGTGATATCTGCCCTGGTGGGCTTGTCTGTTTTGTCAAATCCCCCTTTAAAATGGAGGATTCAAGGTCTCCCGGGAAATTTTAAAATTTAAGAACAAAAAGGGGACAACACCTTGGGGCTGGGAAAAATATTTAAAATGTACAATTTCCTGCCAATTTGGAAGAGGGCTTTTTGACGGCATTTTGGTCCCCATTGGGGCCTGAATTTGTAAAAGGTTCAAGTCGGGGCGAAAGTTTATAAAGTCCTTCTCCTTGTGTTTGGGTTTTTGTGAATTTTTCCCCAAATTTCAGGGGCTTTAAGAAATAATTGGGGGAATCTCCCTTTCCGTGCAACTGCGGGACTCAAACTTAAATTTATTCCCGAAAGGGTGTTTTAAGGGACCAAACAAAAAATTTTTTAACCAATTTTCTTTTTTGGGTTTGGTGTTTTCATAACTTCGTAGGCCCCCTAGGACTTATTTATAAAAAATAATATAAAAAAAAGCACCAAAAAAAAGCAAAGAACATGAAAAAAGTTTACAGCAAAGTTCTGGAGGTCATGGGTGTTTTGTCGGGGGGGCCCAGCAAAAAGTCGAAAATTCCCCAGGATTTTTTTTTTTTTCCCAAAAAAAAGGTTTGAATAAAAGGGTTTGAATGGGGGTTTTTGGTACCCAAAGGTTTTCCCCGTTTCTCCCTGCCCCTTCACCCACCGGGATCCAGGGAAGTGGGGAATGCTTGTTTGGGCGACTCAAAAAAAGCCAAAACAGTCTTTCCAAAGTAGCTAAAAATTTTTTTTTACCCTGCCCTTTTATTGATACATAATTTGTAAATCCTTGAATTTGTCGTTTCTTTATAGTGTTTTTTGAGAAAAAAATCCTTTTCAAAAGGGGGCCCCTTTTCTAAGTGGAGACAAATAAAATTTTGGGGAAGTATACGATAATCATACAAAAGCACGGGGCAAAAAAGATGCAGTACCCAAAGCATCAGTGAGGCCCCAAAAATTTGTTTTTTGTTTTTTTTTGAAATGCATGGGGTAGGGGTGCTCCTTACAAAATTTTTTCTTTGCAAACAAATTTTTTCCCTTTATTGAACCCTATTGAAAAGAGTGCTTAAAAATACACGGGAACCTTTAGTCTGTGGCCACAAAAAAAAAAAAAAAAAAAAAAAAAAAAAAAAAAAAAAAAAAAAAAAAGTTTTGATACTAGGAAAAAAAAACAAAGTTTTAAAGAGGGGTTTATGGGTAGCAGTGAGGGGTGGGTTTAATTTTTTCGTCATTTGCTAAAGTCTCAGTTTTTTAAGAAATATTGATGATTTAAAGGGGGGCTTATGTATTTTTTGTATTTATGCAGAGTACTGGACTGTATATAGAATTAGGGGGGTATGATTGAGGGGTAAAATGGAAAGGGAAAGGGAAAAATAAAGGGGGTGTAAAAAATGTGTGAAATTCTGCCTTGGAAAGGGCTCGCAGCAATGGTTTTTTAAATTAGAAAATTCAGATTTTTGGAAGGTTTTTGGAAAGTAAGGGGTTTTGGGAAAAAAGGGGTTGTGGATGAGTGGAACAAATCCCGTACAATTTAGGGGGCCCGAAGTTTTGTGCTTTAAAAAAGGTTGGATAAAAAAATGAGTGGGTTTTGGGGGGGGTGTGAGTTGGGCCCGATTGTTGTTTTTACCAGGCGGTTGCCCTGTTCCCCCTTAAAATCAAAAGGGGACTGACCCGACTAGGTTGGGTTTCATTGGTTAAGCCCGTAGGGATTGGACTGCCTCGCTTTGGGCCCGGGAGGCCTGCTGCAGTGTTCCCTTTGTTTTATGTTTCTTATAGCTTTTAAAAATTCAGACTGTTTTTGGAGTTACAAAATATTTAAAAATGCGTAGACTTGATTAGCAAAAATCCTTGCAAAAAAAACCAAATTGTACAAACTTTTAGAGGGAAAATTTCATATTCACCCCTTTTCACTTTTTGGCATAGGTGAGGGTGTTTCTGCCATGGGATAATATCCGGGCCCCCGAGTTTTAAAAAATTCACTTTTTGATGGGCTTGCACAAAAAGCATGTAAATGAAATAAATGGGTTTTTGCATTTTTGATTTTATACTTTAAGTTTTAAAAAAATGAACCCCTTTTTTTCAAAATGTTCTCTAAAACTATAGCATGCATTTAAAACCCCAAAATTTAAAATACCTGGGGTTACACACATTTCGATTTAATGCATAAAAACTATGGGGGCCCAAAAACATTTTTGAAACAAAGACAAAGATCATTCAATCCCAAAAATTTTCCATTATTTCCCTTCAGTCTGCTGGCTAAGGTTTATTCTGAATTTAATGGCAAAAATCTGGGTTTTTGTTGTGGTTGTTTGGGCCCTTGTTTGTACTGTTTTACTCATGGAAAAAAAACTGTTTTTTATTAAATTTAAATTGAAAAAGTAATTGGCTTTAACAGGGCACCCCCTCCCCCATATTAGCCTTTTTAAAAAGAGGGGTCAAATACCCTTTTTAAATAAAACCATAGGAGTAGCCTTCTTAACTTACATTGGATCCCATCTGTTCTTTCACAATTTTTGAAAGCAAAATTCTTTTTCAAAGACTCTAAAACGATTTAACTAGAACTGAAACAGATGGGGTTGGGGTGAGATTTGTCAGTTAAAGACTGTGTCTATTGTTTTTTAAAAAAACTTGTGAAATTTTAAAATTTCCCCCTATTCTGTGGGATTTTCTTTTTATCACTCTAAAAAATTTTTATTTCAGCTTGATACTGCTTGTTTGAATTTTATTAAAATGTGGCCCTTTCCCTTTCCATGGGGATGGTGTAGTAAAAAAATTTTTTTTTTCTCCATTTTTTTTATGACTTTTTCCCATATGGTTATCAAGTTCCCTTTTTCCCTTTTTTAACCAAACCCTTTAATAAAAAAGGGAAAATTTTACTTTTTCTCTTTCCCTTTTTTTTTTTTTTGGGTTGGTTACCAAGTTTTGGGGTATGATAACAAATTTTTTAAAATGAAATTTTTATTAGTTTTTATAATTTTTTTAAAAATTTTACTCATTTTTGATTTCAAAGCTTTAAAGGGGAGGCATGCTTTTCAGGCACAAAAAAATACATTTAATATTGGTTTTATTTAACCCGTAAAAAGGTCCAAAAGTATAATTTCTTTTTTTCAACTTTTTAAAGTATTTTAAAAAAAAATAGTTTTTTTTTTGTTTTTTAACATTTGGGAAAAAGTTTTAAAAAAAAAAATTTGATTACTTTTTTTTTTTTTTTATTTGAAATTTTGTAAAAAAATGTAGATTAATTTTTGGCACTAAACATGTGAACGTAAATTGTTGGACCGTTTTCGGGTTAATATAGGTACCAATTAAAAATAAAGTATCTTATTCTAACATTAACCCTTAAAATGTCCAAGCAGAAATTTCATTAAATGCATAGTGTCCCCCAAAATAGATCTACATTTTTTTACATATTTTTAATTAAAAAAAAAAAAAAAAAAAGGGTTTACAAAGTTTTTTTTTCATGTTTTCAAAAATAAAAAAAAAAAAAAAATCTATGTTTTTACATGCTTTAAATGTTGAAAAAAAAAGTAGATTAAAGTTTGGACATTTTAAGGGTTTTAAAAAAAAGCATTTACCCTGTGATTTATACGCATTTGATTTAGTTTAAATTTCCCTTGGGCCAAGAGCCCTGGGCTGGCACAACGGCCCCCCCTTGAAAAGGGTTAAAAAAGTCAATTTAACAATAAGTATTTCTAAGAAAAGAGAAAAAAGGCATTCCCTGGTGAATTCAAAATATTTTAAGTTTCTATCTAAAATTTTTAAAAATTAATTTACTGCTTTTTAGTAATTTTAGGCAATATAGAGGTTAAGGGCTCGAGTTTTTTTGATATAAATTCTCCAAAATTAAATGGGTTATGTAATTAAAAATTATATTTTTGGTCTATGGGGAGAAATTCTTTTTTGGTTTAGTAATCAAAAATAAACATAACCCAACATAACCTGAAATTTACTTCTAAACATGGGTTAAATTAATTCAGGTTGGATATTCTTTTTATTTAGCCATGTTAGGGTCTTTTCCCCTATGCACAAAATATGACTGTCCACTGAACAATTCATTTTTTATTCTAGAATTTACACAATGGGCTATTGATAACTTTTTTATTATAGAATTTACATAATTTACATCTAAGCTTTAAAACCAAGCCCTTAAACTCATTATTAACCTATTATTGTTATGTCTAAGGGAAATGGTAAACGCAGTGTCTTACAGAGCATGAGGATGGGAAGGAAGGTGTATTGTTCCATACATGGGGAGGACAGGTCTAATTCCTCCGATCAAGAGCCCTTCACTGGCATCAAGGAAATCCCTAGAGATGTAACTCTAGTATAATTATCCCCCATTACATATAATCTTAATAAATTATCATATTCCCTGTTGAGCACTAAACCCTTATGACTCATACCTTTCACCACGGATGGGGTCCAGAGTGGCGAGGTCTCTCTCTTGTATTATCCTCTCAGATTCGTTGACTGAGGTATCAATCACACACTTGCCATCCACCATCACCCACAAATTCACCACCACCATCAATATACCCACCAACATCATCATATCTCAAGCTACTGTCTTCACGACCAGTGTGCTAACACAGACAAGTAGTCAGTTTCAGCAGTTGTGTTGTGCGTCACAGCTGTTCACATCAACATCTTCTGCACATCCGGATGTACAATTATGTTATCGTTCTGCTGTATTAATCCGAATGGATATATACTATTTATAATATAATAATATCTTTATTTACTACAAGTACATGTACAAGATATATAGTCCTAGCTGACATCAGTGACATACTAATATATAGAAAGTCACTTGTTATGCTGAGCATTTCGGGAAAAATTAGGTCAGTTTTGTCCCAGGATGCGACCCACACCAGTCCACTAACACCCAGGTACCTATTTAACTGATAGGTGAACATAGACAACCGGTGTAAAGAAACACGCCCATTGTTTCTACTCTCGCTGGGAATCGAACTCAAGACCCTCGCTGTGTGAAGCGAGAGCTTAGCCACCCGTGGCCTCGTTGTAATGACCTTAAGCAGAGGTACGATAAAGCTCATGGTTCAGGGAGAGTGACCTAGTAGCGACCAGTGAAGAGGCGGGGCCAGGAGCTTGGACTCGACCCCTGCAACCTCAACTAGGTGAGTACAACTAGGTGAGTAACACACACACACACACACACACACACACACACACACACACACACACACAAACTCATACGCACATACACTCATACACACACACACACAATGGATCAGGGAATACTTGTCAGGAAGACAGCAGCGAGTCATGGTACGTGGCGAGGTGTCAGAGTGGGCACCTGTGACCAGCGGGGTCCCGCAGGGGACAGTCCTAGGACCAGTGCTTTTTCTGGTATTTGTGAACGACATGACGGAAGGAATAGACTCTGAGGTGTCCCTGTTTGCAGATGACGTGAAGTTGATGAGAAGAATTCACTCGATCGAAGACCAGGCAGAACTACAAAGGGATCTGGACAGGCTGCAGACCTGGTCCACAATTCTCCTTTGTTAAAATCCCACCAAGTCAAAGTCATGAAGTTTGGGGGAAGGGGCAAAGAAGGGCCGCAACGGAGACATCTAGGGGTCAAACACAAACCTCACTAAAGGAAAAAAAGACCCTTGGGGGTAAAAACACCAGGCACATCCCTGAAGCGCCATCAACCAAAAACTGTTCAGCATTGGCGCCTAGCAAACCTCAAACAGCTTTCCCACATTTTAATAAAATCATTCAGGCCCTGTACACCTTTTAACTTGGGCCCATTTTGGAGTAGGGCGGCACCAGTTTGGAAACCCCACACCAAGCCAAGCACTGAAGAAACTAAGAAAGTCAAGGTTTGAAACAGACAGTCCCAAGCTAAGAGTATGCCCTACGAGAGGGGTTAAGGGGAATCACCGACGAACTGGAGGACGGGAGAGATGGGGGACATGTAACGCCCTTACAAAATACTGAAGGTTTGACAAGGTGGACAAAACAGGATTTCCAGAGACTGGACACAGTAACAAGGGGCACAGTTGGAATTGAAACACGAGAATCAAAGGGATTTTAGGAAGTAATTCTAGCCACAGAGTATCAGGAATTTGGAATAGTTTGGGAAGCGATGTAGTGATCAGGATCCATACATACTTTAAGCAGGGAAACATAAAGCCAGGGTTCGGGGAGAGTGACCTATAGCGCCCAGTGAAGAGGGGGGGGCCAGGAGCTTGGACTCGACCCCTGCAACCTCAACTAGGTGAGTACAACTAGTGAGTACACATCATGCACAACAACATAGGGCACGAGCGGGCTAGTCAGGGTCGGTGCTCCGATTAAAAGTGTTTTGGGGGCTACTAAGTGTTCTGCAAGGTTTAAAGGTGTCGGGGAGTCAACAATCCTAGAAGTTTTTTTTTTAATTGCCTGACCACACAATGTGGGGAGAGCCACAATTTTGAAAGGATCGGGAAAAAAAAGCGTCTGGCGCAGGCAGTGTGAAGGCCTTCCCCATGTCCCCCAAAATTTTAAAATAAAGTAAAAAACAATAGTGTGCCCATGAAAGAAATACAGTGAATAGGGTACATTATTAACGAGAAGAAATTAGGGGGATTCTCCAGGAGTACATCGGCGATCACCCAGGACGCCCAAAAACGCCCTGGACAATTACACTACTCGCGCACTACAAGTACGTATCACCTATGAGTGGTTTTTTGGGTTGGGCCGGTTTCCAATTAACCGCCAAGCTGAATGTAATGGTCAACTCTCATAGCACGATAAAGAATAGGCACCAGTATTCAATAATTTTTAGAAAATGGTAATCCATTGAACAAGGCATTAATCACTAAAGCAGGTGAATGGGAAACACTGCAAGGGTGGGAGTCAGGTCAAAGAGGTTGGGGGACACAACGACAACTGAGAATCTACATTACACTCCAAAGCACAAGCCACCTACTTTTCAGCACATAATAAACCCACACATAATTTCGACACAAAATAACCACCACACACACACACACACACACACACCACAACCCCCAAACACACCACACACAACAACAACACAACACACAACACAACACACACAACACAAAACACCCACATCACACACAAAACCACACCACCCCACACAAAACACACAAACACACACACACCCACAACACACAACACACACACACACACACAACACACACACACACAACCCCACCCACAACACACACACACCACACACAGCCCACCCCACACACACACACACAACAACACACACACACACACACACACACACACAACACACCACTGAAAGGCGGTAAGTCCCCAGGAGGTTGGGGTGTCAGGCACAAGAAGGTGGGGGGCAGCCAAGGACCACTGAGACTTCCCTTTAAACCACAAGCCACCTACCTTTCAGTCAAAAATAAACCCACCAAAATTCCACACACAATTACACACAAAATTACACCCCACACCACACCCCACACACACACACACACACACACAAAACACACACACACACACAACCACCCAAAACACACACACACACACATATCCAACACACAAAACACTCCCCCCTCACCACCGACTTCCACACTTCCCCCTATCCATCCCCTCCCTCGATCACCCCCCCTCCCCCGTTCACCCCAAAACCCTCCCCACCCCCCCCCACTCAGCTCCCAAATAGCCGCAGTTCCTCCACATTTCCCCCCCCCCCCCACATCTGACATACACACACTAACCTAACATACAAACTACATATTTTCCCACCGGGGCAATAGATAAAAAAAAAATGGGTTCCAAGAGCAACAAAAAAAACCAAGGGACAGAGGAAAAAATGAAAAGGGAAAATTTGGGGCAGCAGAGCTCATAAAAAGGGATAGAAGGGGAAAAAAACTAGAAGAATTTAGTGAAAGGAAGAAAGGATAGTTTTGGAAAGCAAAAAAGGGGGAGTGCATGCAAAGCGCAGAACTGGGATACAGAGTTTAAAAAGGGGAAATTTAAAAAATCGAAACACCTAAAAACAAAAGAATTTTTTGGATTGACAACAGAGACTGCTACCTCCCACAAATAAGGGGGACTGTAGGAAAAGAAGGGGCACAACTGAAAGAATGCCTACAGAGGAACTGTACAAAAAAGCTAACTTTATGTGGGGGCCCTAACAGACAAAAACAGAGCCCAAGGAAAGCCGAGAAGGGAAAATACAGGCCACGACCCAAGTCATTAGCCAGTGAAACTGATAAAAGGGAAAAGCTGCGTGGGGGAAACAAATTAAATGGGGGGATACCGGGGATATGCAGGGGGAGAATGAAAGGGTGAGGTCTCTTTGTTTGGGCCCAGGAAAGTCGAAGGGAAACAATGAACAAGAAAAAAAGGGGGAAAGAAAACAATTGAAAGCACAGAAAAAATAGGAAAAGCATAGACCCAGGGGAAAATTTTCGGAGAATAGGGGGGTTGTAAAAAAAAGAACCCGGCCATGAGAGTGACCTTTAAAGGCAGAAGCGACTTGACCAGGAACGCAGAGAAAGCACTTAAGGGACATGACAGCATACAGAGGGTGTATCTCGCCCGGCGAAGAACACAAAAAAGGAAAAACTGGAGAGAGGGTACAAAGCGAAAGGAGGAAAAAGGGAGGAGAAGACAGACAGGAGATCCCAACCCAGAAGAAGATCTAAAACAGCCCCCTCACAACTTTCTATAGAACCTCCCAACCAGGTCAACCCCAGTGAACCCAAAAACATTTCAAATCAAAACACCCTGCCCACCCAATGCCCCCACCCACTACTTACAAACTTCACCCCCACAGCAAAAACCCCATAGTTCCTTACCAGTCCCCCCCATTTCCCCCCAACCCCAATAAATTCCCAGACCACAGCTTAAAAAAGAAGTTAAGGTGGGGTATAAAAAACAGAGGGAATAACAAACAAGTAGGGGAGGGGCACGAAAAAAACCAAAAGAGACATCCCCCAGACATAATAGCATCACAGAAACAAAACCCCCAGAATAATAACAGATTCAATTTTTTCCACCGGGATACAAATTTTCAGAAAGACAGGGGAGGAGGGGGGGAGGGGGAGTTGCACTGCTCATTAAAAACCAGTGGGTTTTTGGAAAAGGGAAAGGGAATGGTGGCATGGGCAAAAGGGGACTACTTAGTAGGAACAATCCTCTGGGGGCATAAGGTGAAAATTGCGTAAGTACAACCCACCACAGAACGCAGGAGGCCAAGAGAAAATACATAGAGCAACAGACAATGACAACACACTAGCCGGGGTGGCCAAGAGCACAAGGGGGGGAGCAAATTTTACTAGTTAGGGGTTTTTCAATCAAAGGGATTGACTGGGAAAACCTGGACCCCCGGGGGGGTCCCGAAACATGGAAGCCAAAGATGGATTTACGGAGAACCTCAGATAAACATGTTAGAGACCTTCCAAAGAGAGGAGGGGATGAACCAGAAGGTTGGGGACCTTGTTTTCACCATGAGTATTTCGGACATCGGGGTACATGATGAAAGGCCCCTGGGAGCTAGTGATATGTGGTTCTGTGCTTCGACTACATATTTGAGCTCCAAGTGGAAGAGTACAAAAGGCGGGAAAACCAAAACTAAAAAAGGGGAACTACTCAGGCATGAGGAACCCCTTTCAAAAATTCAGGGGGAAGGGAACTGACAAAAAACCCAGTACAAG